ATTGAGTCCTCTAGTTTGAAAAGCTCGGATCCAGCACCTGGCACAACAGGCTTTCCATCTCAATGCTCAATACAAGCTACAAGCAACAACCCTGTCATGTCGGCGCCGAGTTTATCCTTTAAAGCCTTTGATGTAACTGATCAACTAACATCATTAATTCAGTCTGAAGATGAAGGCCCAAAGAACACCACGCCGAAAAAATCTCCTATAGCTGATGGTCTCGATAGCGTAACTCTACCATCAGCCTCTAAAACTGCAGCTCAGGAGCAGGATGCGTGTTGGAAACGTGTATTGGCTTTCAGTAGTGAGGTGGGCAAGGTGAACAATCAAAGGCAACCACCGCTAATGACTACCACCGGTGAAAATTCTGATATGCAGAGAAAAAGTCAGGACCTCTTATCCGATGATAGCTCAGAAGTTTCCTACAATGATAAAGAAGAGAATATCATCACTTCAATGGACCAGTCAAGTCAGGAGTGTAAGGAAGCGTCTGGTGATAAGCCTGAGGTCTCATTCCATCCAAAACATTGTTTGAGCAGCAGTATCAGCGTCGTAAGTGGCCCGAATGATCAGAAATCACTTAATGTGGATCATTGTTCAGAGATTGAAGCTGATGTGCAGAGTGAATGCTCAGTCGGCCGTCATGAGGATCCATCTAGTCTTGCATTACATTCGAGTCACCCTGTTATTTTATCCCAATCTCGCGCTGATGCTACAGATTCTCATTGTCCTTCAAAATTTCCTGGTGCCTGCGGAGAGGATCTGAGCAGCAACGTATCTCCTCTAGAATATTTTGGAACGAGGGACGTGAATAAAAATGTAGAATGTAAAACAGATAGGACAAAATTTTCCAGTACTTTGCTCCCTGTAAATTTCCTTGACGTTTTGCCACAAAAATTAGTGACGAAATCAGTAGAAGTTGCTGACACTTTAGGCACTGGAAACTCTAGAAGTAAATGTCACAAAAAATCTTTGCCTAAGCAATTGGATACTTGCTCAATGGAAAATTCTGTGGCCGCTTCGTTTGTTAATGAGAAATTTGAATTTAGAAAGACCCAGTTGGTTCCGTCGCCACCCATGAAATCCATCGAGTCACTTAAGGCAGAAATTCAGCCATTGTGTGAATTGTCATCGCCCCTTGTGTCGAACAATCAAAGCGATGTCAAGATTTTGCCGGTTTCAGATGGAAAAGAACATCTGACCAACAAGAAACCACAGATGACTCAGGAAGTGAATGAAGTGTTGAAGGATTCATCAATCAATTGTCTTCGGAAGTCAGAAGCTTTTGCGACAAAGAATACAATGTCTGCATCTTTCAGTAAGGCTGAAAATTCTCTTGAAACATCAACGAGTATAAGTGGTGAAAGGCAGCAGGTTTGTGTTTTGAATGATGATTCAACTATCCAGAAATTCGACATGTTGCCCGACTTGACATTCGACATGCCTGCCAGCAATCATTTGGACCATTCTGAGAAATTGTTGGATGTGTCGCCCAAACTATCAGAAGATCTATTATCTCAACAGCCAGAAGAGGTGGTTAAAACTAAACTGGAACCTTTTTTTTCTAGAACAACAAAAACAAAGACATCTGCTGATTCTGAGAATCTTGCAATGGAAATAGAATCATTTCCAAGTAAAATGCTAAACACAGGTCCGGAAATTATGCTGGATCATTATGCTGTAAATTTAGAACCTGCATTAGAAGGATGTGCCATTTTGTCTTCTACGGAAGCTAGAACTTCACCAACAAAACTGGAAGCATATTTTTGTCAGAAACTGGTATCACCTATTGAAAAATTTGAAGCTTTGCCTGAAAAATTAGAATCTGCCAAAGTGGAAACTTCACCCGAAGAATTGAAAATTTCACCTGAAAAATTGAAAACTTCACCCGAAGAATTGAAAACTTCACCCGAAGAATTGAAAACTTCACCCGAAGAATTGAAAATTTCACCTGAAAAATTGAAAACTTCACCCGAAGAATTTGATACTTCACCTGACAAACTGGAAATGCTATCAGCCAAGAAAATTGAAAATTTTTTGCCCAAGAAGCTCCAAACTTCATCTTTACCAACCTGCAAAACTTTTTTACCCCCAAAACTAGAAGAAAATTCAAAGCCTAAAATTTTGAACGATATAACAGTCCAGAAGTTGGAAAATTCTTCAGAATCTACGGTTTCATTGCCCAACAAATCTGATACTTCTTCTTTCAAGAAATCCTGTACACTTGTCAAGCCATCTGGATATTGTGTGCCTGAGAATTCCTCACCTGCTAATGTTAACGTCTCGTGTCATGAGTTAGAATCAACTCATCATAAGTTTGATGGTTCTCTTCCTTTAGAAAAGACATCTCTTTTAGGCCTAAATTTGGATAGTAGTTTTTTATTTAATCACTCAACTTGTGAGCAATCTGCTTCACCATCCAAGACTTCTTTGTGTGAAAAATCAAAGAATTATTTACCCAGAAACTTTGAAATCAAAATTAAGGCCCCTACTCCCCATTGCTCACATAAAACCCTGTCTTCTGATGAAACGTCAACACTCTTATCACCAGTTGAATTGGAAACCCCTCCTCCTAGTGCATGTGACCCTCCTCACAATAGAACAAACTACTTTAGGCACACAATTGTCGGGAAGTTGTCTCGAGCCAACTTAGAAGCTCTGTCTTGCAAACATGGAAATCCATCTGATCATAACTCTGAAATTCCACCTTCCATGTCTCCGGATGATGCAGGATCTGGAATGAAATATGAACATCAATCATGTAAAGTAAAGAATATTTCAATGTTAGAAGAATTTAAATTGATTCATGGAGCTGAAGTAGGATATGAAACTGTCAAGACAGCTGAAGCTGAACCTCCAAGAAAGGCTGAAGCCAAGTCTCCCAAGAAATCTGAAGCTAAATCTCTAGAAAAATCTGAAGCTCAGTCTCCCAAGAAATCTGAAGCTAAATCTCTAAAGAAATCTGAAGCTGTCTCTTATACACATCTTACCTTCAGCAACCATTCAGGAATATTCAAGTGACACCCCAAGTGTTCATTCACCCATTTCCTGCAAAGAAACTCATGAAAGCTTCTTCAACAGAACTGTTGATTTTAATAAGTGTGATATCAACATTTCACCTCCTGCAGTTAATGAGATTTCTAAACTAAAGAGTNAAATTTGAAGCTCAGTCTCCCAAAAAATCTGAAGCTCAGTCTCCCAAAAAATTTGAAACTCAGTCTCCCAAAAAATCTGAAGCTCCGTCTCCCAAAAAATCTGAAGCGCAGTCACTCAAAAAATCTGAAGCCGTACGTTGCAAGACCACTGAAGCTCTGTCCATCAATAAGTCTGAAGTTCAGTTCCACAAGAACTCTGAAGCTCAGTCCCCCAAGCAATTAAAAGATCAGTCTCTTGGAAAATCTGAAGCTGTATCTTGTGAGACATCTGAAGCTCTCTCCATTTACAATTCCGAAGCTCAGTCTCCCGAAAAATCTGATGCTCAGTTGCTCCGAAAATCTGAAGCCGTTTCTTGCAAGACAACTAAAGCTCCATCTCAACATAAATTGGACTGTCAATTACTAAAGAAATCCAAACCTGAACCTGTAAGTGTAGAAATAAAATTGCCTGCCGAGCGCGAAGGACAGTCTTTTACCTTGGGAAATTTTACACAACTTTGGAAACGAGAAAAATATTTACCCCAAAAATTGGACTTACCACAAGAAAACGAATCTACTAGATCCTCGTGTGAAGTACTGTTGTACTCTTCGTCGGCCAAACGAAGGAGAATATCCCCACCTATCTCCTCGACCTCAGCTGCCACGATATCTCATGTTCTGTCGCCGGAACAAAAATCTGCTTCTTCTGAACAGGCTGAGGAGAATACCGTCGATTTCCAAAAGCCACAGGCTCATTTTTGTCTTCACAAAGCCAGTGATGAGACGGGACCACGTGAAATCTTGTCCGCTCTTCAAGATGACGATATCACTAAGTATGAGCCAGAACAGAGAATTGTTTCACGCACCCAAAGAGACCATGAGCGTGCGAACACTGATCAATCTCCTGTTCACTCTTCTGAAGACACAAATTTTACGACTTCATTGAACGTTATCGGAAGGTCTACAACTCCTGAGGTGTCATGCTCCTCGACAAATATGTGCGCATTATTATCTTCTGGTCCAGAGCAAGTCTCAAGCACAGTAGTAAATGATTGGGATTCTGAGAAGTCGTATCCTTCAACTTCTGGGCACACTCAAGACTCGTCACCTGGTGTTAACAAACCATTGTTGGTTATACCTGGAGCTGTTGAAAGTGTTAAGTCTGTATCAAAGGATGTTGACATAGTTGGTATCTCTTTGTCGTCAAATAAGGTGCAAGTGCCATATGGGAAATTAACTACAGACGAGAGATTTCCTCTCGAAAAAAGCTCGTCATCCATAATATCTGAACCCTTGAAGAAAAGCGATAATTCCAAAAACAAATCTACTTATTCGCCAAGCTCGCATGGAGCTTCAATGGCAAGAGACCATCTGCCCTATGATAATGAAAATAGAAAATCCGTCCACAATTCCGGGCCTATTATGTCTCAGCCTTCTTCAACTGGGAATGATGCAACCAAAGCTAGTCCTGTATTCACAAATTATAAATCGACTGAGCCCGAAGTTGCTCGAGTCTCAGAAGTAAGTGTTAAGAAAAAACCTCGCTTAATAAGGCCCTGCCTCAAAACAGCTGCCTCCATTTTGACGATCGAGCCCTCCTTGACTGGTAAACAACAGTTATCCTCAGTACAAAGTTCATCCAAAGAAGACAGTTTCACGACCAAATCTTGTGCCGAGAACATAGTTTCCGGCATGAAGTTAGGTGTCGATGGTTTGAAAAACCCCTCACACAAGAATGGATTTTTGAATCATGAAGTTAGCAGTGATAAGAAAACTATTTTCCGTGAATCTCCTGAATCTTCCGGTGATTCATTGAAACTTTCAGGTATCTTTTTAAATTCAGCTGGAATGCCGTCTGCAAGGTTAGATACTGCTGCTGCAAGCGCCTCAGCGGGTGATCAAAAAAATAGTGAAAGTGACTGTTTGGCTGTCTCGGCATCTACGGCGCCGCCTTCATTGACAGAAGAGAATAAAAACGCTGAGGACAGCGGAGCTGGAGCAAGAAGCACTTCTGACCTCGCTATTACTACCAGCGTATCTCATGTGGAAGCCATAACGATCCCGTCAGTGGCCGTGTCAACATGCCGTGATGAATCCAAAATGTCTTCAGTGGTTGACGGTAGGGAAGTGGTCTGTGGCAATTCAACATTGATAAGTGAAGTTCCTCCCACAAATGAAGTTAAAATCAGTATTGCTACCCACGACGCTGTAACTGATGTTGCTGGGACTGTTGTGGTAACGCCTCTTGCTTCTTTGACCAAGACCTCCACTACAACTTCCAGGAACTTATATGAGCAAACCAAGTTTAGTGTTGTCGAAGTCAGTGACGCAAATGAATCGTACATTTCTGAGAGTGTGATTGTGTCGACAGCTTCAAGACCCGATGACATACCTACAGGCGCCTGTGCGCTGGCATCTCAAGCCCCTGTGACCGGAGTTCCGGACGAAATTGAGCCTCGGGATAATTTGTCAGGACCGATTTATAATGAGACTGTAACTGAAAAAGAAGCTTTAGCTCCTGTAGCGTGCGAAGCGAAATTAGTTGTACGAAGTTCATGTGAATCTGGGGAAGATAATTCGTCTGATCTACCTGAACCAAGTGCTTGCCTTGACGTGACTTGCGAACCTGCAACGGAAGTTGGTAAACCAGATAAAACTGCAATCTCTAAGGCAATGTGTACAGAAAAAACTTCATTATCATATTTGTCCACAACTTCAATGTTTTATGCTCAAGACACATCAATGGAAGTGAATGAGAAATTTGAAGACGATGCTAAATCACCAACCAATAGAGCACCAAAAATTTCTAATGTGACGAGTCTGACTGATGCCGCTAATGCAATGGATGCAACCAACCCAGTGCTGCTCGATGGTGCAATAGAAGCGGAGTCGGTAATTTCAACTGTAGTACAAACCATTCAATGTGAAAAAATTATTCCGCCCTTGCTAACATCCCAAGAAACCAGTACGGAACGCCCGAAATCTCTGGAAAAATTCGACTCTCTAAACATCTCAGCTCCTAACAAAGGATTGCCTGCCAAAAACGAGCCCAGTAGTGCGATGGTGGCCGATGAGGGATCTCCTAGCTCTAGCTCATTGGGTGCGAATCATTCAGGTTCACCATCGGATGGAGAACCATGCACTTGGTCGGAAAAGTCGACGCTGCTATCAACTTCTAAATTATCACGTCAGTCTCCTCTGACATCATCTTACGAAATGTCCGACAAGGTGCACAGCTCATCGCATATTGAAAAACGAGAGTTAGCACCGTTGGATCCTAATTTATGCAAGTCTGGCGAGAAGGTAGAAATATTACAGGTTTCATCGATGTCACCTGACCTGTGTACTGATGTTCGTCATGTTGACCTTGAGCCTCATAACATTATCGAGTCTTCAACTGTGAAGCTCATCACGAAAGCTTCTTCTCAAGAAATACATTTTCCTGCGAATCACAAATTTGTGTCACCAGTTCCGGCAGCGTCTCGTGAGCAGTCGCATGTGAATATTGAACTTGAAAATCAAGGCAGCTTAATTGAAACAAATTTGAAAATTGAAAATGAACCTGCAGTAACGGATAATTCTGATATTTTGGATGCAGTTGTAATGCCTGCAAAATGTTATAGCCTCTCTGATTCAAGTCTTTTCATTGACCCCTGTAAAATTATAACATTTGACAAAGGCCCATCGGGCGACATGAGCAGGGCCCAAAAACTCACCGCCAGTCTCTTCGAGCCGCCAAAACCAGGCTCCTACCGCACCCGTCGCTCCATGGTCTATGGCTACAAGACAGATAAACGGATTGTCGAGATGACAGGTGAAAACCATTGCGTTCAGCTCGAGAAAGCTATCACTGAGCAGCTCCAGAGTTCTTTCAACAAGCGAGGGAGGTGCTACTTGTGTGCTTCTTTCACGGAGTCGATGGCATCTCACATGGCGGAAGCCCACATATGTTTGAGTTTTCGGCCATTGTTCAGCACTCCGTCATTTTACCACCACTGGCTCGAACGTTACATGGACTTCCCTATACGTTACTCTGATGAATTGTATGGAAATCCTTGTTACTTGTGCGCTCAATGTGACTTCTGGAGTAAACGTGTGGACCGAGCGTGGGCACACGCCCAAGAACATCAATCAGTATACCAAGTGAACGAATGCAAAAGCCGCTCCCCAAACTGTTCATGCCCTGTGCCGGTGTTCTCGTTTAAACTCTTTCACTGGAAGAAAAGTTTCCAGAAGTCGTCAGTGTGTCATTTGTGTGAAAGTCGATTTCATTGCACCGAGGGTCTGGAAATGCATCTGAAGGGTGTACATTTGTCGGGCTCAATGTGTCGTGCATGTCGAAAGGTTATTTCGCTGCCCCTGCTGGAGCACAACGAGCTGCACCGAGCAAACACCGACAGCCCCCAGCCTGAGTTACTTACATCACCTATCGACGTGAGCGACATATCCCGCAATATCGTGGATAATTTAATCAATTATTTGGATGGCCGTGACTTCAGACTCCCATCTCTAGGAAGCAAGCTAATGAATGATCGTTCGAAAATGATACTCCCGCTTTACAATGCTCCTGAAGAGTTCATAGTATCGCAAGATTGCCTCAACCCGCTGGAGAGAGAATTGAAAAAATACAAGCGAACAAAATATGTCATAAAATTACCGGCAGATGACGTACTACTTCCATTCAATTTCGACGTCCCCGTTCAAATGCTTCTACAGAAAAAATGCTCTCAGTACCGCAAAGGCCGAAAGCTATTTAGTATCAGCCGACCGACCGTGAAAGAGGATGATTTGTTTTCTGTTCTGGCTCTAAAACGAGGCCGGGGGTTCGTTTCCTCTCGAAGAAAATCCTTTCGTGTGACCGCGGCGCCCGCCACTCCAGAGTCCGCCGCTATTGAAGAGCTTAAAGCTCCTAGTGCCTCTAGCGCGCCTGCCGATAGCGAGAAGGAGCTGCAACAACAGGAGCCGAACAACGACAATGCTGCTTGTGATGTTCGAGGAGAGTGGAGTGAAGATCACTACTTCGTGTGCTGTGCCTGCGGTGCCGTCGAAGATGACCTGGCAGAGATCATGGACCACAAGTGGGCGAGGCATGCGGGAGTTTTGTGCGCACACACCATGATTGCCGGCAAGGACTCTGTGCCCTTGCAGTTCTGTCACCAGTACAGACCTGCCAGTCAAAGAAGTGTGCTGCTCGAACTTCCGCTTGGGGATCGCTGTTCTCTCAATACCACAAATTTCTTGAAGCCGGAGAAAGTTCCAGCGTGTTCGAAGTGTCAGTTGGAACTCTCATCGATCACCAAACTTCATGCCCATATGGTGGACTGTGGCGGCCTCTCACTTATGACGACTCCTAAATATCTCAAGAGAAATAAGAAGAACTCGAGGTAAGTTAGAGTTCAGTCTTATACAAGGCTTTATTTGCTTGGAAATTATATGCATCATTCATAAATTGCTCAATTCTTATAAATTCGGTTCACTACAAAATGTTGTGGGATCTGTTGTTTTTTATTAGTCTTTCTGGCCTTGTATTCATGTTTTCAATACTTCACAAGCTCTAAGTATGGATGTGTTTTCTGTCGCTCAGATTCAACAGACGGAAAGGTCAAGGTATTCCAAGTCGTCTGAGTGTGCAATCTTCTAGTGCAAGTACACCGCTCAAGGAGATAGGTGAGATCTAGAGAAAATTTTATTATGGTATTGCATGCCATTTAATGAGAATTAATCATAAAGATCAGAGGCTTCCTATGTATCTATTCAACAAAGTGCAGAGTGCGAGTTATACACTGTACCGGAATTATGATGATTTGTACGTGCGATGCTATTCAAAAGATCATATTTGTGAGAAGTTTCACTGGCAAATCGTAGTCAGATAGACGGGAAAGTCCCACCAGAAATATAAAATATACCTGACGTTAAAATAACGTTCATTTAACGTTGTTTCAACGTCATTTGCCTGAAGGGACTATAATAATTAAATGAGACTCATGACAAGTATTGGCCGTGTTCAGAGAGAGAGCGTGGCTACGAGAGCGCCGCTACGTCCGTCATCAAGCGACGCCTCGAGGGCGCCGTGCAGTCCATTGATAACCGCCTGCTGAAGAAACGCCTCACTGACATCATCCGCGCCAACAGCCTGCCCAGCAGGTCAGTGAGCCTGCAGCCTGTCCAACAGGTCAGTGAGCCTGCAGTCTGCCAGCAGGTCAGTGAGCCTGCAAGCCTGCAGTCTGCCCAGCAGGTCAGTGAGCCTGCAGTCTGCCCAGGCAACCTTGACGTCGGCTCATTGCTCCCACTTCAACAATTTGTTTTAGGAATCAATAAAGGTTGTTCTATTGATCAATAAAGGTCGTTTTAGGAATCAATAAAGGTCGCTTCTTTTGGTCGTTGTGTTTCTAATGTAAGAGCATACAAACTTTTCATCGCCGTCTAAAAAGCTGCCTCTCTGAAATGTTTTCCTAGGCTAAAATTACGTCGTATTCTTCAGACTTTTAGTTATAATTTTAATATTGTCTCTTTTCCCATGCGATTGAATAATTCCTACTTACAACTAGAGGTGTAGTAATACTAATTACATATTGGAAGAGAAATTTTGTCGTATTTTATGCCGACTTCAGATTAGTTGCAAGAAATTAAAGCACAGGATCGATTTTTTTATCAGTTTAGACTATGTTCCCGATTCATTTTGAGATTATTAATGAATTCAAATGGTTGTATAACGGTTATTTTATTTTAAACCTCATTAAATTTTCAGATTTAGACTTGGGACTTCGAGCGGCCGTCGCTATGGGCGCATGAGGCTCCGGCGCAAATATAGCACCGAGGATTCGTCCAACAGAGTGACGAGGTCATCTGGCAAGAAGTCGCTTACACCCAAAGCTGCGGGTAAGCCCGTTGACGATGACGACGATGTCGTGTCGCGCAGCCGCCCTGGCAAAGTCGTCAGAGTCGATGGAAAATCGAAGAAGAAAGAACAAAGTGACCGAGATATAAATCAAACTCAGTCTAAAATCCTACCGTCGTTCACTCAGAAGCGTAATGGTGATAAAACTGCAGTCGAACGTTCAGCTGGTAGAAACCGCGTTAACAGTAAAGACTTGAATAAAGTTTCGCGAGAAGAAAACTCTGTCAAGAACGGTTCCGCGGCGTATTTGGACGCGACAGCACCACTTCACAGGCATCCCAAAATGTTCAAGAGACTTCGAACTTGGAATGGAACGAAACTATCCAAAAGCGAGGTTGAGACCGGGCTGCCCAGTGAGAGGAATAAGAAGTTTTCACCTTCCGTTAAGTCTGCTTTTTTAAATCGTTCCAAGCAATTGAGGAAACAATCAGCACTAAAGCTAGAAAATAATGGAGCGAAACTCCTTTCTAACAGTTCAGAACCGAGTCGCTCGTCGAGTTATCATGACAGCAGGTCGTCTAGCACCACAATCGCCTCATGCCGAGGGCGAAGAAATTCATCCTCCAACGCAACGAGCCGATGTTCAAGTCCTGCTGTACAGAACAGCGGTGGCAGGACGGCAGGACGTTCCCTGCGACCCGACCGCCCGTCAGAAGGCAGCTACCGACCACAGCGCATACTGAGTGATGATTCGGAGGACCTGGACAGTGGCGATGAAGGGGATGCAGTGAGGTCCAGAGTAGACGAAGATGCTGGAGGAAAGGACAAGGATGCTTGGGCAAGGACGAGAGGACGAAGGTTTGGGTGTCGTTTGACCGGCAGAAACATGCGCACTCTAAGGCCTTCAAATATGCGATACTCTTTCCGTCCTTGTGTTTCAGATACTAAGCACTCCAATGAGTCCAGTGATTATGATTCTGAAAATTCGGAAAATTTTGCGAAACCTTCGTATCGGAGTGGTGATCCCGACGCCTATCTTCCTCGCCGTCGTAAACGAATTGAGAAAAAATCGTTCTTCGAGAACGTTCCTAAAGCCATCAAGAAATTTGGGGCAGGGCTTTCCGTCCTGCCTACGAAATGGAAACGAATCCTGCAAGCACCATCTCTTGACAGCAGGGATTCTTCATTAGATAGTTTATCCAGCATTGATGATAGGACCGGCAACCAGTTACCATCATCAGCTAGTGAACCTACTTGTGATCATGCCGTATCGCAAGGGAAGAAAATTCCTGTGAAAACTAAAACTACTAATGATACTTCAGAGTCAAATACGAGCTCTGATGCTCCTAGCGATTCTACATCACGTGGCGTCCGTAAGTCTTTGAGTAAACACTTGAAGCCGAACTTGTCAAAATTAAAATCTCAGAAGCTGACGAAAGCTGTCCAGCCGTCGACTAATACCGATAACGAGATCAAGAGTGTCCGTTGTTCAGACCGTGTGCAGTTCAAGAGAGGCCTAATTCCATCAAGAGCCCGGAAAATTCGCAGGAAATGTGCTCTGATTGCCAAGGAACTGAGCAAAAATGTGCTCCAGAATGAGATGAACGCAGCTGATGGTGATGCGGCGTCTGTTAGCAAAGGCCTTACTGAAAGTAATTCATATGAAACGCCCAAGAAAATAGTTCCAAAAGCACCCCGTAAGAAAATGAAATTAACTAAAGCAGAAATTTCTCAGGCGGAAAGTAAGCGACCAATATCGCTGTCACAAGATTCTGGTGCCTTATCGATCGGTGGTCGAAGAAACGCCTCTTCTGATGAAGATTTTCATGGAAATCGTGCAGACTTCAGCGGCGAGAAATCCAAGTCTCATAAATCTGGCAACCCATCTTCTGAGATTATGAAACCAGCATTTGAGGGATCCAAGACTAAAAAAGTTATACGTAAAGGGAGCTTCAGAAATAAAAAGTCTAGATTACCAAGCCCTGATCTTCCTCTTGACGCAGCGTCAACTAATGGACCAGTCCCATTGACGGTTGATGAAGCACCCGCCTCAACGAATATTCAATCTACAGAGCCAAAGAAATCTGGATCATCGCTTAAAGGAAAGTCTTGTAAAATATCCAGAGCTAAAACGCAATCTATAACTTCCATTAAAACAAAGGCTGTTGGAAAATTTACCTCGAAATCTAAAAATTCTAGTGAAAAAGTGGATAAAGGGGAAATGAAAACTAAAGTCCAGGATAAAACTTCCATCGATTTAGATTCAAAGTTTGAAACAAATCATTTCAAATCTTCAGCAGCCGATGTCGATGGAAGTAAAAAACGTTCGAAGACGCCTATGGCTCGCGCTCGCTCAGCATCGTCAGATAGCAGAGTCGTGGTGCGGGCTAAGAAACCTCGACTATCGTATAATGAAGAGTTATCTCCCAACGATGGCATTGATGTGATCAGTGAGCGGGACAAGGTGATGGCGTCAGTTGGTGATTCTTCATCAGAAAAGCCACAAGAAAAATTGCAAGACTCTGCTCTACTAACCAAAAAATCAAACCAGATTGCGTCAAGCACGCCAGTTGATTTGTCACAAGATAAATTAAAACTAAATGAACCAAATAAGAAAAATATCGGAACTAAAAGTGTTGCTAAGAAAAGAAACTTGTGCGTGAAACGCAAACGTTGTGATGCTGTTGCTCCCGAATTCTTTTGTAGAGAGTGCGGCCTTCAGTTTGGATCTTCCGAGTCGCTGCTCTCGCACGACCGCGACGACTGCGCCAACATCGTGTACGGCATGGGCCTCATGGCTGATGACCAGCTCTACGAATGTCCTCATTGTCATCTCACCTTTGCCTACAAATCCACACAGAAAAAACATTCGGCTTCTTGCCGTAATCCACGAGCCCGAAAGCAGCAACATAAGACTTTATCCAATGGTCCCAGCGTTTTAGAACCATCATTTCCGTTAATTCCAACAAATTTGATCGCTTGTAATGTAAAACCGAGGACTAGTAAACGTGACGCTATCGTATTGAAGGACGAAGGCTGCATTAAAGCTGCTAAACCTTATTCTTTCAAGTCCAAGTCGCCTCAACGCCTTGGTATAGATGAAAACTTTAGTTCCGCTCGAGATATTCTTGCAAAATCAGTAATAGAGAAGAAAGATGACAATAATTGCTCTGAATCAGCGACGAAAAGTGGACCAAAAAAGCTGTCAATAGCGAAAAATAGAAAAAGAAAGAATTCTATTCTCACTGATACCGAGAATGACTTGAGTCATCATCCGTCAGGTGTCAAGAAACGAAAAAGTATGGAAATCAAAAAAGCTCGCACTTCTGATTCCGTGGTGTCATCGTCCGTAAGTTCGAGCAATAGTATTGTCCTATTAAGCGATCAGAAGCTGGACGAGAAAGTCCTGGAAATTCACAGAAGTGAGGTTAACGAGCCTGTCCTTGCTCATCCTATCATCAGCTCTGATCTTCTTGCAAATGTCGCTGGAAAACAAGAAACGTCGACACCAAACGTTAATCCTGCCGTTTCTACTTCGGTTGATGATACGCATTCTGCAAGTTTGGTCTCCTCAAAAAAAAACTCATCTAAATTGTTAAGCAAATCTGCTATTCATGGCGTCGTTGATGCGTCACACGCGATTACTTCCAGTTCCGTCAGATGTCGAGCCTCAGAAGTTAGTCCGTTAATAATAACTGCAGGCGCACCCAATCAAGCGTGTAGTAGTCCAGAAGTAGCAAGGGTGCTCGTAGAAGTCGGTAACTTCCTGCAAGAGAGATGCGCGAGTGAAGGCGGTGTGTTGGAAGTGACGGCGCTGATGTTGCAGTATCGTCTCAGTCCTAATCAAGTGCGGGACGCACTCCTGGATGTACCGGTACGTCTTACCAGTGGAACAAGCTCAAGTGCTGGTGACGTCTCTACAACACCAGCTGTTGCTGAACAGAATAGTAGTCCTGGGACTTCTTGCACTGCTGCTGGGAACGTCTTTCCGTGTGCGCCGCATCGTCCTCTTCTAATATACCTACCTTGTCAACCGTCACCTGAAGAAAATCTGCCGTGCGCCGTGCGCGGCGGTGCGTGTACGTGGTGCGCGGTACTGCAAGAAGTTGTAAACCAGCCCCACTTGCATCAGTTACACGTACGACTCATCAGCACAGCTGGCGCCCAGAAAGATCGTGAAGGTCTCGTGACGAGAGAGCAAAAGCAGGCTTATCGCCGCCTACCGCTGGACTCGTCCCGAGAAGAGCTCCTCAAAGCCGTGTCTCTTATTGAAGACATGATCAAGCAAATCGCTAGCGTAAAGACGGAGCTGGCGCGGCAGGAGATGCTGCTTGCCATGAAGAAGACGTTCGAGGCAACCGTTTCATGATCTTACCTCAATATTAGGTATTTGCTAAATTCTTCTCTGTCATGAATGCCATAAATTGTAGAAGCTTTATACCTCGCCTTATATAAAGCAGTAACACTGCATATTGATACTGATGACATGCTCGTTTGTTTGAAAGTCAGTGCTTACGTAAGTCTCTTAACTTCTCCCCCCCCCCTTATTTTCGAAAAGCATCTTCTGATATCTTTTTGCTTTGTTCATATGATGTTACGGGAATTTCTAGCAAATGACGCGGTGCTTCGTGGCTTCGCTTTGTGTGTGTGTGTGCTAGGAAAATAAAGCCATTAAACTCGCTGTGAAAATCATGCCCCGTGCTCCGAGTCTATTCACAGTTCATCTAGGTCGCTAGATAGTTGATATGAAAACCCTTCTTTGCTGCTGTAATCGTCAGTTCGTCTTGGGTTTTTTTTTGTTATTTTCATCCGACAAACTTAGATCTTGTTCACTTGACACTTGTCAGGTTGTATTGGTCTTGTTTTTTGTATCTGTTATCTGCACTTTCACTGTATATTTTAACTCTTACACTCGTTACACTCTTATGTTAACTCTCTTACACTCACTCCCCTCTCTATGTGAACTCTTTTGCTCTCACTACACACTTACTCTCCCTACACTCTCTCTCTATGTCAACACTTGGCGCGGCAATGGATGAGGTGACACGAGATAATCATTCAGCACTCCTCAGACTGCTACAATATCCTTGCCTATAATGCTCCGGGTTACTGACTGATCTGGTAGCTATTAGATCGTCGAATTAAGTGGTTTCTTTCCTTATTAAAATTACGGTTTTTCATGCCATAAATGCAAGTTTGAGTATTTTTCTCGAATTAATTACTTACGTGCTAGACATTTAGTGTTTATTGTCCGTTAAATACTTTGCTTGTACTCTTCGTCTTGAAATTGCTTTTGTTTTCTTCTAAATCTTCTTACCATGTATGATGACTGCCAGCGTTCTCTACTCAACTTTTTACATTTAAGTAGGCTTCTGGTAAACGAATTTCTGTTGGGCATTATTATTAGGTGTGATAGTTTGAGACGCATCAGTAATGCACTGAGTTAACCTCTGGTGTGCAAATAAACCCATCAAAAGTATTATATAAGATACTATGCTTGAGGCTACATAAGTTGACACATAATATAAACCTATTTCTTTATAAGTTATTTGCATGCATTTGATCAGTTATTGAACTTGCGACTTTCTATTGCAGCTGTGAGCGTTACTTTACAACACGATCTCATCTTATCGTAAGAATTTTTCGCTGATGCTTCCTTCTTTTCCGAAATCTATCGTTTAACAGAGATTCAGTCTTTATGTCTACCTGAATAAGCACTGAATTAAAGCTGGTGCGATGCGTTGCGTGTACGCTGGTGCGCCGGCTCGCACTTTACGATGACGGCTAAATGTTTGTGTTGCGTTTTCTATTCATTCATTCCTTTTCACCTTAATCATTTTACGTTACTTATTGTAATAAAAATCAAAATTCTAAATTAATTTTTTCAATACATTTATTGAATTATCTTCTAAACCACTATGAATGTGATGAAACTGAAGCAATTTCCTTCAGTAAATATTAAGCGTGGCGTGAATTGTAACGTTGAGTGCCACGTTAGCTGCCTTGTTTATGCGCTAAGTTTTCATCGCACGTTTAATAAGTTTTCGTTTATTGCGAAAAATTATGGGTACCTTCTGTGTCCATTTGTTCCCGCCCTCTCGTCAAATAAAGTAAACTATTAATGGATTGTGAAACAAATTCGTTAATTTTGATGATATCAACTCTACGAGGCAATTCTGGTAATTTCATAAATCATTTAAAAATTGCCTAAAGTGCTTACGGTTGTAAGTATCACAGAGCTCCCTGGTGCATGACAGTGAAGTGCCATTGAGAGTTAAATGCTGCTAACATTACTAGCATTACCTGCTACCATTACTAGCATTACCTGCTATCATTACCACTCACGCTAGCTAGGTTTGTGTTCTTGAGATTCGTGAGAGAAGTGTCGTCGTTGTTTGCGAGTCGTTCATGCTGGTTTTGTAGGACTAAATCCTGAGCGTGGGGCGTTGTTCGGCGGTTGAAGCACTTAATGCCGAGTAATATTTGGTTGTCGATGAGCCCCAGGCCTTGTTGCTGGAATGCTACATCGTACCTCGCGTTCCCATAGAGATTATTGACTCACTTTTTGGTACATTGGAATTGTTTATTTTGAGAGCATTCCTCGTGGATAATCTTTTTTTCATAATATATAGATAGGAAGGTAGATAATTAGTTTGTAATTTATTTATATGTATATGAGATGTCCGTTAAGAACAGAATAGCGCCACCGACTAGTGTTGGTGACATTTTTTTTTTTACTTTTACGTACGTAGATCTCATGTGGTGATGAAAATGTTTTCTTCTGAAATTATATGTGGCTTACGAAATTGTTATTGTGGTCAATGCCTTGCGTTTTGGTATTTGAGAGACAAACAAGAAGAAATCGTACTCGACTACTTTATATTTATTTGGGAAGCAGCTTGTTGAACGTTCATTATTTTGTAGTTTTTGCATTGTGGATATTCCGAGAAGTGGCAGCCATCCTCCGCATCTTCATTGGCTCTGACTTGAAGTCTGCAGCGTTTTCTTCTTAAAGCATCTCAGGTGTTCACCGAAAGCCGTGAAGGTTCTTGTTTTGCTTGACCATATTTCTGCAGTCAAGATGACTTCCACGTACCAGTGAAGCTGTGTTCATAGAGATAGTTAGCTGCTCAACATTGTTCTGAGTTCTTATACATCATTTTCTCTCAAGAATTTTTCGCCTCAAGGGCCGATGAGTTCCACTCGAGGCTTCCTCTTATATGAGACGAGTTTCCCGTGAGCTCAGAGTTTATTCGTGTCGTGGAGACCGTTTTTTTATACACGTCTTGATTCTTAACATATCGGTTAGCTCTGAACCTCGTATCAATTGATGACTACTGAGTAACTTCATTCATCTTGAATAACGCTGGCGTTCTTCACCAAAAAATTACCAAATTTACCTGCTTCGAGATTTTTTCAGGTCTTGACTCATTTCTGTGAGTACATTCCGTATTAAAGTTCTCGACTTAGTGTGGTATTTTGCTTGAACTAATTGTATTGTCGTACAGTTCACACCAGTTCTGTACCCAGGACTAAGCATATATTTATTGTGTTATGTGCATTCTATGTTGGACACGCTGCACTTCAGGTTATTTTTCCCGTTATTATAGCCTTATTGATGTTTGTGTCGTGTGACAGCAATCGCTGTATTTTCTGATTTGCGTACAAGACAGAAGTAAGCCAAGTCCACGAGTTATATGTGGGGTAAGACAAGTTGCTAGAAGTAAATATTCGTGACTAATCACGACCTTCGATGCCTGTTTCGTGATTATTAAATTATTTGCTCATCATTTTGTTTTATCCTGCTAGCAAAGACAGAATATTTCATGTAATGGCACTCGAAAATGTAGAGCATTCCAAAGAAAATTACTACATTTCAGAGCGTTTGAACTAAAAAGATGATTTTTGTGAATGCACCTAGTTTCAACCATTTGTGTTGCAATCATAGTGAGTAAAATAAGGCTTTTCATGAACATGGGATAAACGGGACTAAAATAAGCGCATAACATGCTTATTGCTGCAGCGCTTCTCGCTCTGTTCAGTTTTCGTGTACCCGTCTCGTAGCAACATGAAAGCAGATATTGAAACTCGCGTCATCTGCGTTTCAGAAGTACTCCTTGAAGCTAAAGCCAAATAAGCTAAATTTTGCACGAAATAAATATGTTTGACAACGAACGTAATGACGCCCAGCTTGCATTTATTTTAAAGAATTCTACTGGATCGACGAATTCTACTAAAACAAAATAAGACGTTGAGGCATATGCAACTTCGGCATAACATAAGTGTATTTCTATCGAAACAACTAAAATTGCAAATGACCTTGAGTACCGGCATATGCTCCCTGAAGTTCATACGATGCATCGTCCTGCACGAGTAAAATTCCGAACTTGAGTGTCAAAATGACCAAAAGAAAATTAGAAGCGCCTTTAGGGGACGAAGTTATCATTAACGGGTCCTCTGAAGATACTAACCGTGGTCTTGTTAATCGTACCGATATTTTTATCGGCAGCACTTCAGTAAATACACAGGACGAAGCCAATTTTTGAAATAAGCAGTGTAGACCAAGTGCATTTGGAGGAGTCATTCTGTTGTCGCAAGGGAAAGACTAGACAAACTAAAATAATGTTCCCAGCGGCCGATTTATATGAGTAACAAAATTCAAGAGCCTAGACGAAGAATTCCGTTAAATGGTCTCAGAGTTTTCTCTCAATTTTTATTGTAACAACAGAGTACGTTGACAACATTCAACATCAATTGGATCTCAATAATGCTAACGTATCAAAAGACAAGCTGAAGCGTCGAGATTCAGAAAACACTTGGCAATCTAAATCAGTAAATCCCACGTAACTGCTTTCTGCCACAAGGTATATTGTGGAAGAGATGAATACTTAGCAAGGCTGAACACAGCGGCAATGGATTTTTATCAAGATCTGGACAAACAACATATTCATCGAGCTAAAATATTGATACACAATCAAGTTGGACATAAAATAGCAAGGTATAAACATTTGCCTAGGCTTCCGAATAGCATTTTGTATCAATTATATTAAAGGGAACTTTGGAGGCTAAACTTAAGTGTTGTTCTCCAGGACAAGTTGATCACATTCGAAGCAAGTATCTATCCTCTACTACGCTACAAACATTAATTCAAGAGACATGACTTAATTAAGCAACTAAACTAAAAAAAACATGTACATGTTACTTCAAAGCTGCATTTGCATCTGCAGCATGAGAATTATTGGCAACCAATGCAGCGCAGCACTCAACAACAAACTGTCATGAAAGAACGCTTGAATATTCAAGAAAACAGGAAAACGTTTTTGAACGATCAAGAAAGAACGTTCAATGCAAACGCAGGATGAGAATTACTCATTACACAAATCAGTACAAAAAATACACTCAAGTAGACAGCCAGGAAAGCTCAGACGGAAGCGGATAATAGTAGCAAGGTTTAGCTGGAACACATGCCCGCGTGGACATCAAATTTCTACATATTACACCCAAGAGCGCTATACATATATTTGAAATACAAGAAAATGCAAGCTACGAGCTCTAAATTGAGAAATCCATTAAATTTTTCTGCAGTTAAAAACTATCAGTGAAATTTTTCATGTAATTTTATCAAGAAATCGGATAAACTCAAAATAAATCAGTCATGTTGCTGTAAAATGCTGGCACAAGAGATTGTAAATCGGGACAGCACTTCAACTTATAGTTAAGTAATGTTTTATGTTCTAGTCTTAGCACGTAATGCCATAGAGAATGAAGTCTTCAATGTGGTCTTTAAAAAGAACACAATTCTGACCGATGAATGACTAGATATAAACAACAATATCTAAGCTTGTTTAAACCATATATATTTCTAAACATACACATCAACACATCTACTAAAATCACGTCAATATACTTCCTTATTTTTGCAAAAAATGTAATGAACTTGAGGTGTCTAATACTTGGCATTGATGGACCGCACGTACTACAGTATAAGCTACAACAATAATAAACGCAATATCTGGGTCCCATTCAGCAGATTAAACTGCATCTAAATATTTTCTTATGACAACAGCTATCATGCAAGCGGCGCAAATTTCATGTTCACTACACAATATTATAGTTTTCACACAAGCTGCGATAAACACACAATCGTTTCATGTCGCTTGGGTTCACTTGTCAACCTGACCAGCATTTGAGGTGCCCAAATTAAGAACAATAAATTAAAATTATGTACTTCTGCTAGGCTGAACCACGGCCAATTCTCAAGATGATAAAAAGGTACATGTAAGGTATTCCGCCTGATTTGACTGACAAAATATAAATTATGAACAAAGCTGCCATATCAGCTACACTTGTAACGGAAACATTTAATAGGACATATCAATGCTGGTTTTAACATCCCATCGACATTCTACTGCAGCTTTGCGTGAGGGTCTGCAGGGGCAGCTTTCGAGTTCATCAGACCAGAGACGCGGGAGAGCAGACCGGCTGTGGACTTGTGCAGCAGACCTCGCTTGTGCAGACCAGGCAGCATCAGCACCACCATCACTGACACAAACAACCCATTAAGTTTTGTGTTCTAATTAACATGCAACACATCGAAACGTTTTCGTCACGCCTGGCAACTGTGACAGTTGGCAACTCTCAGAATGTACACGGATTAGGAAGATTTATATTTTCTGAGGGGGATCTTCATCTTAAGTAGGTACAGGAGTATTTAGGGCTGATGCCTACAACAATTTAATCACTAAACCATGACAATTTTATGACAGTCCCAATAAACAAATTTTAATTTTATAGTGATAAGTTTGTGGGTAGAAATACCTAGTAACACTTGTATTATTTAATCGCATTAACTTAGCTGATGAAATGGCTTGATAATGAAATTTTATTGCCAGATGGTAATTCCATAATGGGGGATTGAGGCAATACTCACTGATGAAGTAGGTGAGGAAGAGGTTGTTGAAGGAGGAGCCAAGCCATGCCGTTGTCAGTAGAGTTATCGTCACAGTGAAGAAATACTGCAAACAAATAGATGAAATAAATAACAATACTAGGTATATCGTGCAATCAGATATGTATGTGAATACATTTGTTGTGATTGAAACAAATATAATCTTCAAGTACCGTGATATCATAGGTAGTATAAAGCTTTGATTCACATTGACGTGAAAGCATCAATGTGAAAACGTCGCTTTCACGTTCTTGGTTTGTTACTCTTCAGTGTCATAAAAACTTAATATTCAGTTACACAAGGCAATAATTGAGGTTGTTGTTCTTTTTAAAAAGCATGAGGCGGTAGTTGATGAAGTTAAAAAGGGCCAGACATTAATTTTTAGTTAAGAAGCTTTAGAGAAGACAAAGCACAAGACAAAGCACCAGAAGACGCACTATCTTAGGTCGGCTAGCTTTGAGCGACGTGAGGGAGGCCATGGAGGAGGCAAAGCAGTCCATGGCGCTGGCGATGCTGTTCACGATGACCTCATAGCGACGCTCCTGCTCCCCAGTCCAGGAATGCCCACCCACCACAAGCGGTACCACCTGTTATAACCACACACAATTACCAAAGTTACATTAAAGTCTTCACACATTTCAATAAGCAATACTGATACCAACTCAAATAATTAACTAATTTAAAGGAAACTTAATGAAAAGGTTGAATGGAAGCCGATTCCTCCAGTTCATTAGTTCTTTCAAGGACAAGTGCAATACCCTATCATAACCACACCAAAGATATTGATGTAAGCACTAAGCAAGCATTCTGGAAATTCAATACTCTTAATTTGTTTGTGATCATAATGGCAGTGGATCTAGTTTTTATAACTGAAAATTACTTCAGTTAAATATGAAGCCAGCTATTGTCTGACACCCAGCCATGTATCACCTGTGGCACCAGGAAGTCTGCAAGAGTGATGGTGAGTCCAGCAAGGGAGACGAGAGTCAACACTGATGGGTCCAGGTACCATACAAGCCTGTTGTAACCCACAACATTTAGGCAAACAATTCATCACCAAAGGATAAGTAAACAAGGCTTGATCACTGTTAATAAAATTCAAGTAAACTTAAAAGAGATATCTTGTCATGAACACCGACAAGTTTGTAATTAGATAGGTCAGTTAAAATGCCGAGGCAGCATGACACATTCGTGTCTTTAAGTAAATGACTACAGCCATTAAGTAGTAAATGATTTAACTTTTGTTTGACGTTAATTGGTATAAATAAGAAAAAGGAGCTAATACATTTTGATGATAAAATTTTCAAAATTTGTTTAGTCCTTATTCTCTTTAAATTGTAAACCAATAATTTTTATTTTCCAGTGTTGTTCTTTTTAACAAAAGAGTTTGAATCACTTTTGTAGGTCTTTCAATTTTCTGTTCTGATTGTACTTATATTCTTCACACATTTTGAAATTGTAGAATTGGTCTCCAAAATGTTTTCATTGCAGGTATTTACTACTAGGTGGCAAAAGACTATAGGTAGAATTTATATATTCAAATTTTCAGGGTGGAACTCTCATAGAAATTTCAGATAATGTTGGTTGATCAAAAATGCAGGTTTCAGGAAGTAATTTTAATTTATTAATGGCTTTTTGATACAACATTCATTTTCTAGTTATAAGAAGCATTGAATACTGAAAATTTGGTGGAAATAAGTACATGATGCACGTTATATGATACAACACAACAATTTTGAACTGTCAAAATCATTCCAGTCCAATCGTCTTCATGGAGTGACCCGACGATAGCTGAAGCCCTCATCTCTACAGATTGGATTCCAGCTATCCATCTCATAACTACTGGATATTCTGAACTTTGAGATTGATTTGGAATTATTTTCACAGTTCCAAATTTTCAGGTCGTAACATGTACTTATTTCCACTAAAATTTCAGCATTCAATGCTTCCAATAACTTGAAAATGAATGTTGTCACATTCTAAACGTTGCTAATAAATTAAAATTACTTCCATGGAACCTGCATTTTGATCAACCAACATCATCTGAAGAATGGTTTGACTCTGAAAATTTAAATCAATGAATTCTATAGTCATCAACTGCCCTAGTTTAAACAAGCTAATTCTGTCTTCTAATACTAATTGTGAACTTACTTCACATATTCCTTGCTTTTCAATTCTTGATTAACAAGCAGGAACACATTTGATCACACAATGTGCACAGTGCATTTTATTTTATAGGCCTGCACTTTATTTTCCTGTGTGCCATGTATCTGCCACACAGAAAAACAATTCATCCACACACAAGAAATGAGCAAACAATCTCGTACAAAAATAAATTAATGTTACACAGACAGTTTACATCTTTTATAATGGAGAAAAACCTCAGATTAAGTGAGAGACTTGATAAAGAAGTTATCTAGCACACACATCAGCAAAAATTAGAAAAATATCAACTAATGAATGCAATGACACCATAGGAAAGGAATTGCAACAGGAATGAACTCAATCAAGAAATGCAGACATTCCCAGGTGCAGCAGATATTACCAAAATACTATGTGGTAACGTGGCTCCATGTGTGTTGTAGTTACTCACAAGAAGGCGATGGACACAGATGATGCAGTGATGGCAGGGTAGAAGGGCTTATCCCAGACAAGCAGGGAATGCAGCACCACCAGCACCTCCCTCCAGCTCTCCAGCTGTCGCCTCAGCATCTTAACAGTGTGACCCTCCTGAACCTCAAACAATAGTAAAAATTATAGCCATTGCACTTCATATCAAACCAAAATCATAAGTGTGCTGTCATTGCTATTCTTCCTGTACCTAGATCCAGGTTACTAACTTTCATTGGCTGGATTATTTATTTTTATTACTACTTATTTTTAGGAAATTTTATTCAGGAAATAAAATTAGACATTGTTTTGCATTGAATTACAGTGCAAATGTGGGGCAGGACAGAGATTGAATTTTTTTCTGGAACAGTGGAATTTACAATATTAATGAATTAATATTTTATTGGTTCAACCTGCACTTTTATTTGGTAAAATGTCTTGGTAACTCACATAACATATATGCACCAAAATGATAAACAGTATGGTAGCAGAGATCTAAGAAAAAAATCAATGATAGAAAATGAATGTTTACGCAGTGTTTTCTAAGTAATATCAAACTTCTCAATTTCATAGTAACTTTGTCTTTACAATAGAGATGAAAAGGGTAAAGAAAAATTATTAAATAATCGGACAAAAAAATTATACTTGAAGCAGAACTTAGATTTACACATGGTCAAAAATGCTTTCATCATGCTACTTACAGAAGCAGTAGAGGTAGCTGTCTTTTCCATGGTTTGGGAATTTACATAGAGAACTGAAGAATAGCTAGCATAAAAATTGATCTGTAAAAAAAGTTAGATGAAAACATGTTTTAAAAAATAACACAGTAGTCACTGCAGTGAGTGAAATTTTCTGCACTCACTGCAGCGAGTGCGCATTTTCTCGTCCATCCATCCGTAAAGTCACGGATGGACGGATATGACGAGCACAATAGCAGCTTTTTTTCTATAAATGAGAAAATGCACTAAAAACTTTCCTTTATAAATATCAAATTGACAGGTAACAAAATATAAATAGATTAAGAGACTTCATGAGACTTTGGCAGCTCCTTGATGTAAGAAAAGAGCTTAAGGTTAAGATATTATCCGAGATATTCTCAACATCTAATATTCTTAACCTAAAAAACATAAAATACCAAAATGATCTTTAACTAAATATTTGTGATGCTAAGCAAGCTCACATATGTGCTCCCATCAGGAGCACAAACTTAAGACAGGAGCACACTTCCGTGGTGCAGAGTGCAGACTACCGTGTTGTACCTGCCAACTTAGTGAGTGATTAGAAAACAGCTCCCAACATTTTTTGTAACTAACCCTCTACCAATGACATATTTTGGGCCAATTTGAGATCTTGCAAGTTACAGGGCTATACACAAGTATATTGAGACATTGACAATTTCAAAACTTGCTATTTTAAAATTTAAAATCACAAAGCCAGCACAAATGCTAAATCATTGTTGAATGTTGTTGCTGGCAGCATAGTTGTAATTGTGTCAAGGCATGAGTTGAGTAATCAAAGCAAGGACCTAGGCTAAAAATAGAAATACATTATTTAGCACAAACCAGTAGCAGTTAAATTGCAACTTGATAAATAAGAAGCTGTTTTAATTGTGCTAGAAAATTGTGGTTCAGTTTGCAAACAAAATATAGTTTCTTTTGAAGCCTCATATACAATTATCAGAGCTGTGGCAAAATTAGTGGCATTGATGGCAGCAGGAGTCTTGTGGCTCTAGAAATGGCAGGAAAGCTCTACTAGTGGCTCAAAACTTCAAAATGTAATAAGATAAATTTCTTGACAGGTTGTGCCATTCTGGGCATGTGGCTATTGACATTACTTGAACATGGCTTATTTTTCAACATCACAGAAGCCTATGTTCTTTTTTTTTAACATCACAGAAGCCCATGTTCTTTTTTATACTGTCAAACCAGGTAATAAGAGACAACTTTGAGAGTTTTTTGTTAATAACATCTTACCATGAAACATAAAGTTTTTCATAAACAAGTTTTTACTCATTTTAAAGGTCTATGCATGGGCTATTGTATGGCATTTTAGAAAATTCCATATGCTATTCATAAGGAGCCAGATGCAAAAAAAAGCATCCCAAATTACCTCCGAGAACAGGGTAATTTGGGATACTTATGTTTGAAGCCTTTTGAGTGTACTCATTCATAACTAACTTACATAGTGACAAACCAGAGATTTTTTAGAATCAGTTCATTTTTAATTTTCTCATTTCCTCAAGATTTAAACCAAATACTTAAGTATGATAATGCTGGTAAGTGGTACTGTAAAATGGGGTTACTTTGACCGGCAGGGTAACTTTGACCACTTTTCGTTTTTTTAACAAAAACCCCCAAAACTCACAAACGATTTGACATAGAAAAATTTTGTCAATGGCCATCAAAGGCCTAATACTGAGGCTACGTAACACAATAGAAAGATTTAAAAAGTTTGCATATCTAATAGGTTAAAAAATTAAAAATGTGACCCACAAAAAAGAGCTATTATTCAAAGCCTGTCAGAGTACCCCCTCCAATTATTTTATTTTTTGGTAAAATAACTCCAGGTTTTGATGCATTGTAGTAGAACTCTTCTAGTTACATATGCAAAAGACAAATTTTAGAAAAGTGTCATAGTTTGCAAATGGGGGGCGCAGTGTGGAATTCTAGAGGGATAATAAATTAACTAGTACACATAGCATTTTGGAAAGCAGGACCTGAAAACTTGGAAAGGCCAGGAACTTTACACTTTCAGTCCATTATTTACATGTCCTCTCCCTTTCAGAATTCCAGCTGTGATTGGTTGATAGGGATGCTTTCAAGCTGTGATTGGTTGATGGGGATGCTTTCAAGCTGTGATTGGTTGTGCCCATAAGCCCCGCCCCCTAGTATGATATATGTACTACAGTACTGGTTAACTAAATACTTGACTGAAACTTTATCATTACAAACAAAAGGCCTGGAAAATGTAAAAAAAATCCATTAAATAAAAGTCAAATAAAAAATATCTATCAAACAAGAGACATCCAAATAATTCTTTTACAAATCTAATGTCCTATAAAATTGAAAATTTGTCCACTTTTGATCCTCCTTTTCATTTATAGTCACTTTAGTCAGTCACTTGGTACAGCACTGTGGGAAAGCTTTTCAGCTTTGGTGGAAAGCTTTTTTATAAGTGAACTTCCATTCTTAGAATTCCAGCCTGGGGGGGCACCACCCCCCAATGGGGTAACTCTGACTATCTAATGGCAGCCGTGACGGGGTAACATTGACTGGCTTGGAAATTAAGTTAAAATTACCATAGGTACCTATATAACATATTTTATGTTTGATATACCTATTAATGATTTTTTCTTTATGTTTCAGACTCTACAGAGTCTTATATATGGTAATTTTAACTTAATTTCCAAACCGGTCTATGTTACCCCGTCACAGCTGCCATTAGGTGGTCACATTTTGCCCATTTGGGGGCGGCGCCCCCCATTTGCAAACTATGACACTTTCCTAAAATCTGTCTTTTGTATATGTAACTAGAAGAGTTCTACTACAATGCACCACAACCTGGAGTTATTTGGAGTTACGGTATTTTACTAAAAAATAAAATTGATTTTACCACCCGGTCAAAGAAACCCCAAGAGCTGGGGTAACAAAGACCATCACTTTTTTTTTAAATTACATAAGACTGGGTAACAAAGACCATCACTTTTTTTTTAAATTACATAAAACTATGAGAGGCAGGAGCCAGCAATTTATGGTGAGTAAAGCTAGAGTACCGTATAGACCTGTATTTTGTACGTTTCAATTTAAGTTTAACTTATCTAGTAAAAAAATGGCATCATTTTGAAAAAAAAGTGGCCAAAGTTACCCCATTTTATGGTATCCATGATACTTTACTAGTCTACTTATAGGACTCAAAAATGAACCTGAGGGAGTGTCTAAATTCTAAAATACTCTCTGCTTTGCACTATGCTAACTAACAGTAACAGTACTCCAAAGTCCTATTCCTTTGACTTTTGTAGTAGGTATTTTAGTCTTGTAGATGATGTAGATGTAGAATAAATGTAATTTTCCATGATTTGTACTTATTTATCTTTACATTATCATATTGATGGGATATTACTGTATTCATAATTCATGGACATGCCAAATGCCTATTGTCAAAAATGATGCTGTCCACTGCAAAGCTTCATATCTGCAGACAGCAGCCGTATTTTATTTCTTCTGTATCTGTAAGACTGTAAGCTTATGCCTTGCAGGACTGGGCTTGTAATTTTAATTAATTGGGTCATGTGAATTCACTATAACAAATAATACACATCTTAAATTCACTTTTCTAAGACAATCTATGGTTTGCCAATTGCCACTATTGGTTGTCACTTGTCAGACTAGGCCTAGGGCTCTAGCTGCCAGCCTGCCACACAACAATGCAGTTGCAGCATAGGTATTTGGTGAAGTCTGAACATGATGGTGCTAACTGTCTGTCAAACCACACAAAAAAATGTACTGATTCTAAAAAATCTCTGGTTTGTCACTATGGTCAGTATGGTAGAACCTCAGTTAGCAAAGGCTCCAGTTAACAAAAAAATTGATTAACAACAAAGAATTTTGATTACATTTACCTTGCTTGGTGAAAAAAAATTCACTTATCAAAAAATTAGTGCATCATCAGTCATCACAAAATTGTACATAGAATGATATATATAGAAATTGTGCACCAGGCATTATAGAATGAAAAGTAATTGACCTAAACTATGATTTATTTCTTCAAAACATATGATGGTTGTAACTAAAGCAGTAGGGTAAACACGGTATATTCCAACACATTAAGGACGCATCAAGAAATGAAAAACTATAAAAAAAACGTATGCGTTGCGTAAGTTCTGTTGCCTTCACATGACTCTCAAAATACTTCACTACGCGTCAGCAACAATGAAACGTCACAAAATGTTGCCATATTTATTAAAAAGCCTTTAGAATGGAACCTACCAAATCCCTATATTCCGTCACTTTGTGTGGCAACATTCGACACGTGGTGAGTCGTATTGCGTAAGCGCTTCAAATTTAACCGATACGTATTGCTGACATCCACGTGTTTGAAATCCATTTGCTGTGTGAGCTGTATTGGGATACAACACGGCATTGAATTAGAACACTAACGAATATTGAACACTACTTAATTACGTTTTAATTAACAGCTATTAGGCTTTTAATTAAGCAAATTNAATGATGCGTTGTGAAAAAAAAGTCGCGCTAATCAAAACTGGCACCGCGTAGATTAAGGGTAGGTTGCAAAATTTTTTTCCGCGTTAATCAAAACTGCGGTATTCAAAACCGTGCTAATCAAGGGATTGCTGTAGTGAAATCACTAGACTTGATTAAAATTCAAAGTTGTGCAAAATTACAAACCATCCTGTAAGCTTACAGTCAGTTACAGATACAGAAGAAATGCTAGTACATGGCTCAGGCCTCAGTTAGTCTGGAAAAGTCCTATTTTTGTCTGAAATATCGCGGCTCTAATATCATATAATTTCAGTAGGTATGAAATCTCGCGGCTCGAATGTCATAAATAACACGTGCATAAACTTTGTAAATAAATTCGCATTCGCACCTCGTAAATGGCTTTTCATGGCCGAGATATGGAATTCACGGCTCGGTGAAATAGAATCACGGCTCGTAGAAATGGAATAACGGCTGGCAAATCCATAAAACCACGGCTCAAAAAAATTCAGTCGCGGCTCGCCAAGTAGATATATTCCATACTAGGGCCTCAGGGCTGCTGCCTGCTGATCAGCTGATATGAAGCTTGCAGTGGAC